TACTAATAACCAGACACAGTGTATTACTAGCCTACATCCAAACTCTGTCTCAGAGGGTCTATCCGAGAAGGTCAGTCATTCAAGCCGGTGTAGAAGCAGAGGAGAACAGTTCATTTGAATATTTCAGGTCAAAGGTTGGATGACTATCCCCATGGGGACCGTACATTAGTAGGGAAATAAGGCAGAAAGCATCTCCTGGAGAAGTGGGGTCCTGAGGTTGGAACCTGGACCTCACCTCCACAGCCACCCATCTACCCAAACACAAGTCTGGGACTTGGTCAAGGTCTATAGCTCCCAGCCATAAGGGTTGGACAGTGGCAGGGATGGGAAGCTCAGAAAGGAAAAGGAACCAGCCAAGGGACAATTGTTCAGTTTCTTAGGTTAACCTCTCTGTGATGGCTCTCAAAGCCGCTAACTGCCGCACCTTCAGAGGACGGCCCCTAGCCCAGCACACGCCATCTGGCCTGAGTCCATCTCTCCCCGTCCAACCCGCAGAGGCAGGAGGACAAGAACAAAACCCCACTCTTGTCAGGCACAAAGGCATGCCTGGGGAGCAGGGGATTCTTTTGATAGAACCATAATTCATATGAGGGTCAGATTAATCATTAGGATTGTATCAAGGTAATAGGGTTTTCAGAATCCAACAAGGAGCTGAGGTCGTGGATGGCAGGAGGAAATAATGTTCAAAGGTGAAAAAGCCAGGCTTCTGATAAAGACCAAATAAGCACAGGTAAGCTCAAACTCAGGAGGGATGGGTAGGAGATGGGTCCCAGAGCAGGACTCGTCAGGTCTGTGATCTAAGCATTGAGGCCAGTGGCAGGACCATGGATGTTGGAAGGTGGAGATGGGGATTCTGTGTTGGATTCTGCCTGAGCATCATGCAATAGCATGCAAAACTGACCAGAGCTTCTGTCACCTCCTTACCACACTTACACTCCAAAGAACAGATTCCCAAACTCAGTTTTTAAAGGATCAAACTCAGAGTACCTATCTATGGTGGAAACATTAGAACTTTCTTGAAACTGGCATCTAGGCTTCCCAGGTGGAACTAGTGGTAAAGAACTCACCCGCCAATGCAGGAAACCTGAGATATGGGTTCCATCCCTGGGTAAGGAAGATCCCCTGGAGAAAGAAATGACAACCCACTCCAATATTCTTACTTTGGACAGAGGAGCCTGGTGGGCTACAGCCCAGGGGGTCGCAAAGAGTCAGACACGACTGAAGCGACTGAACATGCACAAAACCAGCATCTGATCATATGAGAAATTATTGTCCATTTCTATGATCTAAAACATACTCTGCCAGCTTCTTTCACTAACTTTGGAAGCTATTTTATATAAAGGTAAATCAATCTACATCCCCAATTTTTTATAGTCATTGTTCTGAAGTAAAAAAGAATAATATGTCATTTTTAATGAACTGTTACTGGCTCCTTTTAGTGATCCAAAGCATAAAAGAACATGCTGTTACAGAACCTCAAGAAGTTAAACTCCAGACAGAAATCTACTTCCAAAAAGTAGGAATGGGAAATAGAATAAGAAAATGTTCTGGCTTGCCTGCTACTCCTGACAAACTCTTACATAAAGAAACAAATGTTTGAGAATACACGTGGTGGAGCAAGATGGGCAGTTTTGTCACCCTGGACCATACTTGAAATTTGTGCGTTTTCCACCAGTTTGTGTATAATAACTGCTGTTATTTTCTATTTCAGTGTTAAAACTCAGAAAAGAAAAAAATAAACTGTATTTTAAGCAAAAACACCAGGTGATTTGCAATAACTTTTGAAGAAAGACATATCCTTGAGTACGATTTGGTATCTATTTTACTAATCCTAATGCCCATCTTTATTATCAAATTAGCAGCAACGTAATCTGATTCTGATTTTATACCCAGACTGGATTAGAAGTTATCTAAATACCCGACCTCTCAGATCCCTTCCTCTAAGGGGAAGCAAAGCAGTCAGCAGATAGTTCAGTTGGTTGGTTATTAATCAGGTCATGCAGAGGCTCTGTCTTGCTTTCCAATTTCACCTTCTGTGAAAGTCAGTAAATATTTGGGTTCCGATAGCCAGGGAGGCTCTGTCCTTCCTCAGTCTGTGATCCTTCATGGAGGATAGTTCTCTGCCCGTCTAGATCACGTTTCCACCTATCACTGCGCAGCCTGGAAAACCCCACAGCAGTGGGAACTGATTCCAACGTGCCCCACATCCCTATGTGTGAGGGGGCAAGGCACGTCTTCCCTGAGCCTCGGCCTCTGTGCATTTAAGTGAGATGGAAGCTCCCACTTACCGTTTCTCTCCAGGAGTCTCTAGAAACTGTTTCCAGTTACTCCAAAGACCAAGACTGGGGGGGGGCAAACACCTGAAAGGGCTTGCATTCCTACCAAGCTTTCAAACAATTCACACCCTCGGTGTAAACTGTTCTAAAGATTTGCATCAAAAGGAAATATAAAGGCCAAAGAAAAATAGAGATCCATCTGTGAGTGGAAGTGATTTTATCAGCTCCTTGACAAATAAGTGCAAAAGAAAGACAGTCTTGTAGGGTTTTCATCCATTCCCTACTTGCATGGGCTTTGGGGTCTGTGGAAGTATAAAAGGCTATCTATTTTCATAATCATCCAAATCACACAGAAAAAAAAAATCCAACCAAACCATTTTTCAAACAAGTTCCCTAAAGAAGGCAGCCCTTTCTCAGGCCAATAATCGTTGGTGATGCTCAAGTAAACGCACAGAAACTCAGAGGGTTCTCAAGACCTCGGGTCCGCTCAGCCCGGCCCCCAAGGCTGTGCCCAGCGACCCTTGCTCCCTGCCCAGCTGGCTCAGGAGGTCAGGAATCTGGCGGAGGCTCAAGGCAGCAGTCACCTTCTTTTCAGCCGCCTTTTTCCCCAGCTCCACCCCCATTTTCTCCTGACTCACCCCAACTGCCTGGAACTAAGAGCTCTGCTCTGTAACCTGTAACGCCCTAACTTGGAGGTGCCCTCTGACCCCCCCACATTTGACAATTCCCTCCATTTGAAGTTCATTCGAACTTCCCCTCCTTCCGGCAGACCTGACCACCACCCACCCACAGGATGGTCAGGTCCACCATCCCTTCAAGGGTAGGCTTGCCAGTGCCCCCAACCTCCAGGATTGGGTTCTACACCTAGCAACACCCTTGCTTCCAGACCTCGATTTTGGAAAGTTCCTTATTGCCCTTCAAACCCTCACCTTGAAACCCTTCTGGGCCCCACCCTCTCTGGTACATGCCACCTGTCAAAGGAGAGGATTCGTTCTCCGTTTATTTGTCTTTTCACCCTGATTCAGTGTGTGGCCTTTTCCTTGTTATTAAATAACCAGGATATATGTTTATTTTGCTCTGGATGAAGAGTCTTACACACATAACAAAACAATAAAAGCGCCAACGAGCACCTGTTACCTGTTCTGCCCCAACTGTGCTTAACTATATTGCCCACTTATTTCAAGGAGTGATAATCTCACGCAGATAGAGCAGCATCTGGCTCTTGACGTATGTCTCCCTTTATGGATCCTTCTTTGAGGCTCACATGGAATTAACTTCCTTTATCATTACCATGAATCTCTCTATGCATCTTCCCATGTTTCCCTTTAGTTTATTCCATCACCAATGTGTTTTCCAAGTTTATTGCTTCAAAATCTTGTGGAATACGCCAGGGAGGCACCCACATCTCCATTTGGCAGACGAGAAAAATATAACTCATTCTAAATTCTAACGGTTAGAAGGTGGATCTCAGAGAATACGAGTTGCTTCTCTCTAGGCCATAAGGAACTCCTCAGCCCACCATGGTGCCCTAGTGATTGGACCTGTGTCCTAGGAACTCACCTTGGTTTGTGAGCTATTGGATCAGAGGACCTATATTCCACTCCAAGAGGGCTCACCATGGAAGAAGTGGGGGAAGCAGAGTAGCAGGATCTGCATGAGTCAGTCAATGCCGGGACCAAGCAGAGCCTCACTGATGGTTGATATGTTCCCCAAATGGCCCAGAAACCAGCCTGAGAATGAATCCCAGGAGAATACAACGTCTGCAAAATCATGCTTTTAAAATGCAGCCAGGGCTTCCCTGGTGGCTCAGTGGTAAAAAAAAGATCTGCCTGCCAATTTATGAGACACAGTTTCGATCCCTGATCTGGGAAGACCCCACAAGCCTGGGAGCATCTAAGCTGGGGCACCACAACCATTAACCTGTGCTCTAGAGCCCGGAAGATGCAACTATTGAGCCCACGTGTCCAGCTGCTGACGCCTGCATGCCCTCGATCCCAGGCACTGCAACGAGAGGCCACTGCAATGAGAAGCCCACTCACCACAACTAGAGAGTAGCCCCGACTTGTCACAGCTAGGGAAAAGCCCACGCAGCCACAAAGACCCAGCAGAGTAAAAAATAAATAAATAGAATTATTTTTTTTTAAATGCAGCCAGATAACATAGATTACACAGAGCAGCATGCAAATTCTAACAGGAAAAAAAAAAATTCAGGATCATGACATCCCCAAAGAGAATTTGTCAGAAGGAAAGCAGGGAAGATGACACTGTAAAGATGATGATACGGTCTCAGACCTTACAAGGCGACCTCAAGGAATTGCCTGTGACTGGATGGATAGCACAGCCTCTGTGTTACAGAAAACCAAACTTACACTTTGTGGAGTTGGGAGGGCTAGCTACTGGCAAAATTAAGTTTTACCAATAAATGCTCCTCGCCCCAGACTTTTGGGTTGGAAAATGTCTATTGGCTAGCTCAACCCTGAAGTGCTCTAAATTACACCCTCACCCCCATCCCTCGGGTCCCCAGGGTTTTGTCAGGAAGGAGGAGCCCCCAGCAAACTCATTGCCTTTGGCACAGGAGTGCCAGGCTACTTCACCTGCTGTGGAAGCAAGAGAAGAATGACTGCCTCTCACTTGCAGAGATTTGCCAAGTGTCAAGAGATTGGAAGATAAATGAAAAGGAGGTGGGCTTGGCAAGCAGGCTTCTGCTGGCTGTGCTGTACCCCATTAAGAGCCCTCCCCCAGGAAAGAGCATCTTCTGAGCTGGTCACACTGCTGGCTTCGTGGGAAGAGAGTCTCTGAGCACTCTGCACACCAGGTCCAGGAACATTCCAGAAGCCTTCCGTTCAGCTCCAACAGGCGAGCAACGCCCTCTCCAGGCCACAATTCTCTGTGAACCTGCCTCTCCGCCCGATGCTGGCTGGAGCCGACCGGCACCCCACGGCGGCCTCCAGCGGTGGACAAGGCCGGGCAGACGAGAGCCCGTGTGCGGCTTCTGAGCGGGGCTCTCGGCTTGGATGGCAGCCGCAGAGGACACCCTTGCTCAGGTGTGCCTTCCCTCTGTTCCTCTGCGGACAGGACGATGACGTCAGCACGTGAATCACCCTAGCATATGTCTCTACACTCCACCGAGGTCAAGTTAATCATAGGAGTATATGCACATAACCAAACTGGATTCCACCTTCCTTGACCAAAGATGTGCAAGTAGCAATAAGGAGACAAGGGACGAATCTGCCCACCATCACTCTTAGCCCACAAACTAGACAAAATGCAACTAGGAAAGCTCCAGGGGAAGAATTCAGAGTAAAAATCAGCGGCCACGACAGCAGGCTCCTCCTGCTTCCTTCTTTCATTCCACCTGCCCCTGGACACAATGCTTTCATCCCTCTGTGCCTGGCCTGGTCTTCCCACTTAAGGACCACTGAGGGACCCACACCCTAGAGCAGGAGATGACAAGTCTTTCCCACAAAGGGCCAAGGAGGTTCTATTTTCAGTTTTGCAGGCCAGAATAGCCTCTGTCCTGGTGACTCAGATGGTAAAGAATCTCGATCCCTGGGTTGAGAAGATCCCATGGAGAAGGGAAAGGCCACCCACTCTAGTATTCTTGCCTGGAGAATCTCGTGGACAGAGGAGCCCGGTGGGCTACAGTCCATGGGGTCACAAAGAGTCGGACATGACTCTGTGACTAGCACACATAGTCTCTGTCACAACAACTCAACCCCGCCCTTGGAAAGCAGAAGCAGTCGACAATGATGTGTAAATGAACGGGTGGCTGTGGCTCCAATAAAATTTTATTTACAAAAACAGGCAGTGGGCCAGATCAGCCCACAGGCTCTAGTTTGCTAACCGCTGCTCTGGACAACCTCTTCCCTCTTCATCAAACCCACCTGCCCCGTGTCCCTGGTGACTGAGATCTGTGTTCTAAGCCCAGATAATGATGCCTTTCTCGCCTTCTTGAGTGAAGCAATCTGTCATCCCTCCCAGGTGCCACAGGTATAGAGTCTTTCTGACTGTTCAGCCCATCTGAAGGGCTCCCATCCTGGCAGTTCTAGGCACGTTAGAGACCTAAGTGAGGCCGGGGGCAGAGATGCTCAGTCACAGCTAACCATCTCTTTTCCCAGCCTGTCAGACTTTGTCCATCATCATCCACGTGACAGCTTTTCCTCTCATCTTCATCTCTGCTTCCCATTTGACAAATGAAAACTCCATGCTCTCTTGTCTTGCTATTTGAAATTAAAACTACATCAAACATCTGACCAACAGAAGTGATCGTGCTTTGCTTTCACATAATATATATCCTCTCCACCCGCCCCCCCACCACTCCAGACCCTGATAGCACCCTCTAGGGAGAGAGCTCTCCCCTACCTCTCCCCCAGAATCACTGTTCTGGGTCATTGAGATGTTACTCACAGGATCCCAGAGCCTTAAATACACCCAACATTTTAGGGTGGGAAGGAATCCAGGACATACAGAGTTGAACATGACGCAGATTTGATCCCTGGGTCAGAAAGATCCCCTGGAGGAGGGCATGGCAACCCACTCCAGTATTCTTGCCTGGAGAATCCCCATGGACAGAGGACCCTGGCGGGCTGCAGTCCATGCATCGCAGGGGGTCAGACACAACTGAAGCAACCTAGCACACAACCCTCCCACCATCTATTTATGACATCCAAAGACTCTTTCCTTTAAGACCTCTGTTGATCAAAAGGAGTTTAAAAAAAGGGGGGGAGACACAATCGTGTTCTACGGCAATGCGGTGCCTGCTTGCACTGGGGGCAACTGCTTTCACTAAGATGCTGTCTTTGCACAATAAAGTGGACAACGGCAGTAAGTGTTCTGGTTAATTCAAACAACAGCTGTCCCTGTGGTTTTGGAACTGTGGTTCACTTCTTAATCAAAAGGTATTCAGCCTACAGGAAAGGGGTCCCATAAATCACAGGAAGTTTCAAGAAGTCAACAAAAAGATTCCAGGAGGGAGGCGGCCAGGGGGAGGGAAATCTGATCTTAGTTCATTTTATTAAGTTAACATTTTTCTACCAGCATTTGTCTTCTCTCTGCTCTAAAATTCCTCCACTGACCTGAAGGATAAAGAAGCTAATCTGTTGCTGGCAAACCCTGGAGTGGGTGGGCCATGATTCTATACACTGCTACTTCAAATATCAGTTTTGAGACAAAATATAATAACCCCCCCAAATTAGCAATAAATTATAAAGGAGTTAGAGTTCACAGCCAGAGAACTTGAGACAACCCTGATACAGGCTTAAAAAAAAAAAAAAATCACGTCTCAAGTTACAATATGAAAGCCTAGTCTGACTTTTTACTCAATATTACGGTTGGTTTAGTTTCAGTATGTGTTCAGAGACTACCTCTTAGTGCTTCAGGAAACATTGCACTAGACCTTAACTGAGAGGGTGGTCACACAAAAGTTCTTATTCTGTTGTTGTTCGGGTGCTCAGTTGTATCTGACGCTTTGCAACCCCGTGGGCTGCCAGGCTTGGCTGTCCTTCACTATCTACCAGTGTTTGCTCAAACTCATGTCCATTGAGTCAATGATGCCATCCAACTATCTTATCCTCTATCTCCCCCTTCTACTCCTGCCTTCAATGTTTCCCAGCATCAGGGTCTTTTCCAATGAGTCGGCTCTGCATCAGGTGTCCAAAGTACTGAAGCTTCAGCATCAGTGTTTCCAATGGATATTTAAGGTTGATTCAGGGAAGGAAGCAGGCTGATTGATGTTTTAATGCCAGCTATATGCACTTCTTGATTCCATGGAAATATACAGACACCATTATTCTTGACCTCCCTTTTGAGTATTCCCAGAGCAAGAGAATCACCCACAATGCTGCACACACATGTATTTTTGACACTGCCTAGACACATAACAGAATCCTTTCCCTTTGAGGCCACACTCTACACAACAGCTACAGAGGGGCTTGAAATGACCAGATCCGAGAGAGTGTTTCAGTGACTCCCACATTCAGCTGGTTTTATTTCAAACTTTCCAAGGAGCTGGGTTTAGGGAAGTGGCATCTAGCCACTGAGTATGGGAGGATTGAGCCCTGTGAAGACTAGTTTCACTGCATTTTTCCTTTCAGTTGACTTTTCTGGCTTGTAACCTGGCTGGCTGGAGGCTAGAACCAGTGATGGTCTGGCAACTGCAGGTACAAACAGAGGCAAAGCCCTTTGGAGTCACTCTGTAAACTGAGTTGACATGTGGGTAAATAATGTCACAGTGTCACTGCACCAGGCCAGCTGATGGTTCCCTCGGGCTTCCCAGTCTGGGAGATGGCCCATTGGACCTGCCAGGAGAGGTGCCGTCAGCAAACCGCTCCTCTGCCCTGGAGACTGGCAATGGACTGTTGCCAGTTAGCTGGGCTGGATCTAAATATTAACTTTAAAGGCCGCAGTGCAAGAGAATAGTGCAATTGATTTGTGATTAATTATATACTTAATTCTAAAAAAAGTTTTGAGACTTGTAAGCCTAAAATTGTATACACTATAGCAGGAGTTGGCAAACCACAGGCTCAAGAGCTGAATCATATTTTAGTAAATAAAGTTTTATTGAAACCAGCCATGTCCAGGTATCTGCATATTGTCACAGTTCTTTGGTTTTGCAATGGGAGAGTAAAGAAATTATAAATTAACTACCTAGACCTTTACCATAAATTTTTCAGACTTCTGCACAGGGTAAGAGATAGAGGTAAAACACTGACAATGACTTATTCCCAGAGGTGGTCATTGTATTCATTCATAAACTAAAGTGAAAATTAGATTCACCCTAGAAAACTAACAGTAGTGGAATGGCTGAGGCAATGTGGTCAACATTGGGTTGAACAGTATGCAGCCATCAATAATCACATTGTAAATCATTTTAACAGCATATAGAAGACATAATATTTTAAGTGAAATGTACAGAATACAAAACATATTACTAAGCAAAAGAAAAGCAAAGAAAGAAGGAAGGAAAGAAAGAAAGAAAATTTGTTTTACAGAGAAAAATCACCAGATGAAAATACACCCAAACATTAGGGTGGGAATTTGGATTACATTTTTTTCTTTTCTTCATTATACTTTTAGGGTTTTTAAAGGCCATTTCGACAATAAATATTACTTTTATGAAAAGAAAAACATTTATTTTAAGAATAAGAATTAAGAGTTCATAAACTATATATTCTAGTGGGAGAAGTTGTTCTTGAGATAAAATAATCTTATTGCTGAGCCATTAGCTGCCAAATTAAAACAGAAAGGGGGAGGGAGGAAAGGAGGAAGGAAGAAGAGAAAAGAAGGAAGGGAAAGAGGGAGGAAGGAATGGAGAAAGACCTAGGATATGTGGTTCTCTGCTTACTACAAATGCCATTTCAGTTTCCAGTAGAGATGAAATATTTTCTGAGCGAAAGTTTTCAGGAGAAGATGTCCCACGTACATGAGCAGGACCTTCTCATCGAGATGATGGAAGTAAAGGTCTGTGAGCTGACTTCTCACTGCTCTCCAGGTTGGAGATATTCTCAGATTAGGGTAACCTTGAAGATTCTTGGAAAGGGTGAACAAGAGTGTCCTCTTTGGGTTTTGAAGAGAAAAAAAAATCAGATATCCCCAAAACCTCTTTTAAGTATTAAACAAATATCTTAAAAAAAAAAATTTTCCTGGAATACTTAGTAAAACAACATCAAAACCAATGCTAGAGTCTCCATTTGAATTCCTTGCATATTTTTGCTGTGTTTGTGATTGTGCAGGACTACCTAATAACAAAATTGGAGCTAGAAGAACTGACAAACTGATTTAATAGATTTTTAGTCTATTAAAAATATCGATTTTTGCCATTTTCCCCAGACTGGACATTGAAATGCTGTATAGTAAAGTGATGGATGGTTGAGACCTACATAGTTAGCAGAACTGTCCATGGGTATACTTTTATTTTCTATTTACTCCTACCAAAGCTTTTGACTAAGGATGAAGAAAAGAAAGCAGATGATTATTAAATTGCACAAAATAACTTCAAACATTAAGACAAAAGAATCTTTTCTATAAAAGCCTGTCAACTTCTTTATTCTATCCATTGTGAAGGCTA